ACAAGTTCATCTAGTGCAGGGCTGGGCAATTATTTTGGTCAGAGGGCTGCTTACTGAGTTTCGGCAAGTCATTGAGGGCTGCATGACAGGCAGCTCAGGGCAGATTAATATGAATTTTCTAAATTTTTTAGGGGCCTTGTGGGCCGGATAGAATGGCCTGGCGGGCCACATCCAGCCCCCAGGCTGCGTTTTGCCCACCCCTGAACTAGTGCAGCTCAGTAACTTTATAGTGCCCCACTGTGATAGGAAGTTGCTATTATCTCCATTTTGCAGATGGGAAATTGAGGCGCAGGGAGGCTGGGGCCGGGGTCCTCACAGGTATTGCTTCTAGTGTGAGTGAGGTGCCTAGGAACCTTTTGGATTTGGGTTTAAATGACTCACTCAAGGTCACACAGAAAAGCAGTGGCAGAGCAGGGGTTTGACCAAGGATATGTTAAGTCCCAGAGCAGGCACCACCGGATTATCCTTTCTCTATGATAAATTACGGGATTTGCCATGTGTGACTGAGCCATGAGTTAGCAGTTTCAGCCCTGGATTTCCAAAAGGGGGTAACTATGGATTCCTCCCTGCAGAGTAAAACCCACACACTGTCCCTAGCTAGTTGTGCAACACATAAGGAGAAACATTCCTTCCCGGCCCCCCATGGTAGTCATTTAATGTCCCGAAACATGAAACTTAATTAAACTTGTTCTAGTGCATCGCTACAATATTGCCTTTGGTCCTGAAATAAAACCAGCCTTTTTATGATACAGCTCATTTGCAGGCATCTCCTGGTGGCTATAATCACCTTTGTCACCCTTTCTGGACCATTGTAATTCTAGCTCCTGCTCTCTGCCTTCTCCAAATAATCTCTCATCATCTTGGCACCAACTATGAATATTGCATGCTGCCATGGGCTTCTCTCTTTCTGAGGAATAAGCAGGTCCTACAGCTCTGTGATATGTATAACTAAACCATCCATAATCCACTAATGGGGCTTTATCTCTTGCCTTGTGCTGATAGTTTTTCCTTAGCAGGCTTTTTAGAAAGGATCTCACCCCAAAGCCACATCTGAGTAATGAATTTTGTCGACCTGGGCTCCTTCATGATCAGTACTCAGAAGCTGCTGTCCTGGGAAGTAGTTAATGTTTTTGCTTTTCGGAGCTCTAAAATCTCACAGGGAACATTTTCTGCTAAAGCCAGTTGTGAGCAAACCAGTGGATCAGGGGAGGTGACACTTAACTGCATATGATTTTCATGCAAAAATTTTAAGAGTAACTAAAAGAAGTATTCAGGAAATAAGGACTGACTTCTGTAAGTCCCTTTAAGACTCCTCAGCGGTAATTACTTACTCACCTCCCACACTTGCCTTTTCCCCCAAAAAGGAGAGAACAGCACAGCAGAGAATGAAGCCCGAGGGCCGTGAAGTCCACAGTTCCCCAAACAACATGCTAGGGATTACTGGGTGCATCTGCACGTGCCAATTTAAGGCATTTGAGCCTGATTTAAGGTGCATTAAGGGCATGTGTTTACACATGTGCACCCTTAATGTGCCTTAAAAATGGTGATTTTAAGCTATTTGGGCATTTATACACATACATTTTTGGGTCCAGATCTCCTGCACATCAGAGCAGACTCCATTAGTCAAGTCTGCTCCGCATGCAAGCTGATGTGCACGGCGCTGCATTGCTTGCAGTTGTATAAGCGGCAAAATGCACCAGCATGATGAAAACGGTGGCAGTGTGCTTTTGAACTAAAATACCTCCTATGTATTTTAGTTCAAAAGTGGACCGCTGCCATTTTCTGCATGCTGGTGCACATTTTGCTGCTTATACAACTGCATGTGATGCAGCACCGGGCACTTTCCAAAGCACCTGGTGCTGCGGCGCTTGCATGTGTAAAAATGCCCTTTGCACCTAAATTTGATACCTGCAAACGCAAATAGCTAAAGCGCCTTAATGCACATGTAGACACGCTAAGGCACATTAATGCTGTGCATGTCAACTGACTTGGGACTAACTTCAGTCTCAAGTGGGTCCGCATAATGCGTTAATGTGCCTTAGCGTGTGCATGTGTAGATGTGCACCTAAATTGCCTTAATGTGCATTAGACAAATGTGCATTAAGTTTAGGTGCGTGTAAAAGCACGTGTAGACACACCCATTAAGAAGGGAATTGTGGACACAATGGAGAGTATCATGATGCCCCTTTATAAATCCATGGTGTGTCCACACCTTGAACATTGTGCCCAGCCCAGGCTGTTTTGCAGGATTTTCATGGTTTTGCATGATTTCCTTTCACTCGTTTCCCCCAAATAGACACCTTATTACTATTAATAATGCTCATATTCTTATTATCATACTCTTAATGGTGGCTGCTAATAAGCTTCAGTGCTACCTAGATTTAGAATGTGTCTCTTTTTTTTACGAAGAAGGGGAAAAAGGTCAGTATCCTGTCTCATAAATCCCAAATATGCCTTATCAGCACTTAAAGGGGAACGCGTAAGAAGGAAATTACAAGCGCTTTCCATTTCACCTTTCACAAAAGCACTTTTATCACATTGTGGCCTTGACAGAAATTGAAGTCGCAAAGGAGGAAGTGACAGGCAACTTGAGATACTCAAATGCCATAAATAACTAGGCTGGGTTAGGATCACCTGGGGGAACGGGACAGAAAAGCGGCTGCCATGGAGCTGTTATTGAAAGCAGAGCTCGAGGCACAGGCGCCTCGGTTTTGTGTTGTGCTCCTTTGGGGGATCTGGAAAAAAAACATCCCTGCCCACTTCCAGAATTGGGTTGATGCCATGGTAAGATAGAGCAGGCTTAGGGTCGCTCTGGTTTACACGGGCTGTATCGCCAAGCACTACAGCCACTCCCATCCTTCCTTGCGGCTCTGGAGGAGACAGTGGGATTGGGCTGTGTAAATCAAGTCTGTCTTGCTTCTGCATGGGGGAATTCCCTGCCATTTCTTTGCAGGCTCCGGATGTGATCAAAGCAGCACAGAAGGGCCAGGGAGGCTTGGGGGGCAGCCAGTTGTTCTGAAGGCCCCGAAAGTAGTTCCCATTTTTAAACAAGGAGCTGAGACTGATCCTGGGGATTACAGACCCTGTGATAGAGACTGAAATAAGCACAGCTAAAGGCAGAACAAAATTACACCTTTGCCTGGGTTATACCAGTTAATGCTCTTTCCTCTTCAACCTTTTGCAGACTTCCTGGACTCCGGGGTGGATGCTGGAAGATGGCCCCCTGGGTGAGAGTGGGCCTCCGGATCCTGAAGCTACCGAGCACATGCAGACCTGTGACTTTTCCCAAGCCCTCTTCCCAGCTGCAACAGCCCAGGGAGACTAGCTCAAACATCTTCTGGCTCATATGGAATAGGACTGGATGGTCCCCCATTAGGCCGTGTACTTATATTCTTGTACTCCTAGGCTTAAACCCACTTGCTGTGGTTAACACAATGGAGCAATGTGGGTAGCATCTGCTTTTAACTTTGCGGCCCAGGTGCCGAGCATCCATTTATAGATGGGAAGCCTGAGGGCAGCCCTCAGCAAAAGCGAGCCGTACTGGTGCACCGCAATAGTTTGGACACCACATGCCCGGGCAAGAAACTAGAGGAGTGTCGAGAAGCCCCAACTAACCCCAATGTCTGACTGTGCTCCATGCTGTATAAACACCCAGTAGGAGATTCTGCTTTGGAGAAGTCACCGGGGGGGGGGGGGGG